TTGTTCCTCAAACAAAGAACATCAAAGATTAAGGCCAACCTGGTGTTTTTCATCTGGGTTCTGGATGCAAATGTGTGCACTTAACAGTACAGAACTTCTGCTTTTAAGTCATAAGTGTATTTTATTCACTTCAAATACCCCTTCATGAGCAGGGAATTTAAAAAAACATCATATTTTCTATACATACTGTATAATACAGTTTCCTTGTGCAGGATACAATGTACGACGTGAACACAGCCTAACTGGGCTAAGTGATCATTCTAGTCCTTCAGGAAATCCAAGCCTAACCACTGCCTGGCCATTTTTTTTATTCAGTGTGTCAAAAGAATGGTCACCATGACAACATCTCTTTGTTACACCCTTGGGTGGTAATCAGGGAGGTGAAACGTGCTGACAAGGGGCATACTGAGGGCCACCTGCTGCTATAGTCAAGGGGGAATTTCTCTAAATGAAACACTTGCCATTTACAGACTTTCTAAATGTTATGTTATGATAAAATAAAATATCACAAGATAAGTTGTATGTTTCTCAAGGAAGATATAATCGATAATACGAAAAACCATGAGAAACTTTTAACAGTGGAGTCTTTTCAGCACTGAATTTAGTTATGTGTCAAGAAGAAAAATAACAGAGATGTCAATGGAGGTATGACATAATCTTCTAATAGGTTTGTGAGAACAGCTGATGAAATACAATGAATAAATACATGAATGGCAGAATGTGAACAATGTCTTAACAAATTTTGCTTCTTCCTTCCTTAATATCTATTTTAAGAACAGAGAAAAATTAGAATAAGGGTCAGAGGTTAAAATTCTGAATTCATTGGACAATTCCTATTTAACATACATCTTTTACGAGAAAAGTATGGGAGTTGCTATTGCCATGTTCCTCCTGAAAATGATAGTTTCTTGGCTGTGACTGGCTTTAAAGTTTTTCATATTATATGTTGAGACCTAATATTGAGTCGTGCTTTGTTGTGGGTGTCAGAGCTCACTATATCTGTGTTCCAGGTCAGTGATTCAGAAAACTTTAAAGTCAAAGCATTAATATCATAGTCAGGTCACTAACATTCTCAAAGCAGAAGTAAGCAGTGGTGGCTTACTTAATTATCTTATGACAGCAACTCTGTGCTTATGAATTTCATAGATAAACACTAAAAAAGAATAAACTAGAAGGGATTAACTATAGTAACAACAGGAAATAAAATGTCTATGTCTAACAGCATGGGAGCCACAAATCAAACTGGCTGTATAATGGTTTATCAAGACAGCAATAGCAACAACAGCATTTAGCAAATAATTTAATATAATAATATTAATACATAATAAGTTCATGCACCTCTGTCAAACTGAAGAAAATGCAGTAGTTAGTAAGCTGCATTATCATGGTTTTTAAACAACATGGATTTCATTAGTAGGTTCGCCTTTAAATGGGAGGTTGGCATGCTGGGAGCCCTTTAAAGAAAAACTTCAGCCCTTCCATTTTTTTTTGTTTGGATATAGTGCAAAGATCATCTGGAATTTATTGCTGTTGGTGCCACAGTTAAGAAGGTTCATCTCACTTTCGGTCAAGGAAACGTGTGTCAGAATAACTAGTGCGAGAAATCACTTAAAAGGGAACAGAAAAATCTTAACAGGGACAAAGATAATATTTAAAAGAGTAAGTTTAATCTTCAAAAATTAAAAAAAAGGTTTTGACTGCGACTAAGCATACATTCTTTTAATTTTGGTATTATTCGTAACTATGCTATTAACTATGTTAACTCGTAACTATGCTATTTCCTTAACCAATAAACGCAAGAAATTACATCAGAAGGACTGATTTAATTTTTTTATAGAGAGAAATTATTAACATGCTAATACATGGACATCTTTGTCTCTGCAAGAATGTAGGTGTTCATGGTAACTTTTTTTTTTTCAAAGCTTAGGGGATTTCATTTGTGCAGGGAAACTTAGTTTTGAATTATAAATATGACCCTTTCTTAAGATTTATAAACATCTTTTCCACTAACCTTTCTGGGTGTCTCTCTAGAGTCTATAAATAAATATTAAAATAGGCTGCCAAGGACAGGACAGTATATTGTATGTGGTGTCACTAAAAGCTAGTAACATATATTTACTCTGGGCTAGATACTTCACATGTCCTGTCTGGGGCCATCTTGCTCAGTTGCCCAGAGTTATGAAGGATCAACAGACTAAGCCAAAAGCCAGCAAAGTTGGTTATTTAAATATTATTATGTAAATCTATTAAAATGGGTTGCTGAAGTTTGGTTAATGTGGGCATATTGGTGCAAAAGAGGCATCTCCACCATTTATAATCAGTGCAGTCCATTCAGTCACTTCATCATGAAATATACAATCTCACTGCTGTGGCTAAAATACTAATCTGTCGATTATCTCTTGGCCAAGATACCTGTTCACAGAATTTTGCTCCCACCATAACCCAACGGATTTTGAAGGCCCAGACACCTTCTTGACCAGGTGTTGAAGAAGGTGAACAGGGACCATAACTTGTTGGATTCCATTTTGGAGTGTCGGTCCCAGTCGGGTGTTACCAGTGGGGAGTTGGCCCCCCTCTGAATGCAGGGATAGACTGTACACTTGTCAGTCGTACATGTATCATGTTTGTACTGCACAAGGAGAAGTTTTATTTCTGTTTTGCCTTCAAAGAGAGCATTACCTCCAGAGTAAGAGTAAAAGAACGTGTGTGACACTGCATCATTTGGAAAGGCAGGTCGGTGCAAGATCAAAGGAAGTAACACTGGAGAAAAGGTACGGTTTTGTTAATTGAATGCCTGTGGCTGGAAGAGTGATCCAAAGAGAGACTTGGAGCTCAGGAAGCTGGAACAGTGTCATCCACCAATTGTTGAGGCTTGGAGCACAGTGAGATGAGACTGCACTAATCCAAACAAGCTCAGTGTGGTCAGATTTTTGACATTTCTACTGTGGAACTGGTATGTGCTATTTGACATCATGTATTACAGCAAGTGTGTTTAACAGAGACAAATCTAGGAAGAGGAGAACCAAGTTGAGACTGCTTCCAGAAAGTAAACTTTGGACTTGAGATATTTGTATACATGCAAGATTAGGTGGTGAGACCTGCTATTTTCTCCAGGAGGGAGAAAAGGAAATTCAGGAGCGCTGTCATTTTTGTGTCAATTATTGTAAATTTTGCCCAGAATGTGATGGGAGTTGGCAGCAGCTCTAACTAGGATTTAGCGTGTTTTACATTGTATACTAATGTTTCAAAGTACCTTTTTTTTAATTCTAGAAATGGGTCCAGGGATCATTGACAAGTGACCTTGGGTGAGGCTGTGATATCAAAACATGCACATGGTATTATATTTAGTAAAGGAAGCTCTCAAAAAGGGGTATGTAGGTGACAATTTCACTAGATATGCAAGTAGGTACTTTCTGTTTCCAAACACCTTCAGAAATGACTTGGGAAGAAAGGTTGGATATGGTTGAGCTCAGCTGGAGAACATTTGAACAGTGTTTTATATATCTACTGGGGCCTCTTGACTGCATAGACCATTTTTTTGAAAAAGGTGAACTTAACCTTTAAGCAAGTACATATGAACTTGTACATCTAAAGCGGGTCATACTCTGATCAAAAATTGTCTGGTCCAGCAGGGACAAGCCTAACTTTGATCAGTTGTAGGCAACAGAAGTAGATTGTTTAATGGACTTCTGTCAAAAGAACTTCTTGTAAAATTTTATGTCAATCAGTGGCTGCAGCCAATCAGCTGCAGCCATTATTATTTGAGGGTATTCTGACAGTGAAGTGAGTGAATGGAGGAATCTGTTAAACTGGCCATGAATGGATTGAATCTGGGCCAGTTCGGTAGGGACTGGCTGAGATTCATTTCATCTATGGGCAGGCTGGTTGCACCCAAATCGATCCATCGGTTGTCTTGGGTACAACCAGCTTGTCAAATTTTCTACACGCTATTACTGCCAGTGACTGTAGTCACTAGCAGTGATCATTGTGTTCTGCCAGCAAGGAGGTCCCCCCACCAGCAGAACACAATAGCACTGTGGGAGAGATTCCTCCATCAACACTCCTGGAAAGAAAATTGCATAATTTATGGGTGGTTTTAGTTATGCTAGTAGGGTAAGGCCAGCTTAATTAAGTAGGAGGCACTACAATAACTGTCTCCTTTGGCCAACTTAATTAAGTGGGAGGCACTACAATAGCTGTCTCCTATTGTCTACTTAATGATTATTGGGAGAATTTTCTGCTGGCTAGAAATTCAGATGTCTGACATATAAACTTGTATAACACCCCTGTTTTCAAGACAAATGTCATATTTTTAACATTAAAATTAATAATGTGCTATTTGTGTTATAAATATAGCTGATGTTATAAAATATTTTTAAAAATATTTGATCATTTTCTTATAGAACATATAGGAATTTGATGTTCATGTATTTCACGCTGCTAACCACTCATCAGGAAATTATCTCCATCCAGGAGGATCTGCATATGCCATGACTTACAAACAGCTGTGAACATGAATGGCTAAAGATACCACTAATCCCTTTAGTAACCAATTTGCATGGAGCCTGTTCTAATGCTCTGCTATCAGAATGTCCAGCATACTGTTTTCTGGATTACCTGGTTTCTATAGAAATCAATAATGGCTTCAGTGACTTTTGTTATTTTCTATCTGTATGTGGTGAACACAGAGATCTTGGGCAGAGGCACTGAAGGCATTGCATAGGTGCACCATCTTATGAGGTTTGTTATTCTCAGCTTTCTCAGTAACATACAGGAAGGTTAAGTTTTTTTTTCAGCCCTAACAATTTAGGATTGGGGAGGTAACTCTTAGTTGCAGCACACTGTGGCACCCACTTTGAAAAATAGAGATTGGAAAAATTAATATATAGTACAAATGTCAATCCGGTGAACTTGTTTTAATGTACTGAAAAGCTGCAATGACATAACGTGATGTGATTTTTTTCTCAGCAACAAGCACCATTAATAGAAAGCCACATTACCTGTTGTCCAGGTTTGAGCGGTGACAGTGTTATACCTTGGGTATTAATCACTGGCAAAATCTGGTTCCCTATTACAGTGGCAATAATCTGTCCCTGGGCATTTGTCAGTAGTTGTGGTGTGATGGGCTGCACTTGAAGTCCCTGAGCTCCACCTCCTGCTTGATTAGATGATACTGGATTTGGCATAAGTGGAATTGTTCCAATGATCTGAAAGAGAAACATACACTTATTGTTGTTGTTTATGAGCAAAATCACTTTTTTTTTATCCAAAAGAGAGAACACAATGATCTACATTCATTTGATCATACCTTGATGGCACAACTGATCTTGCTTAAAATACCAATACAAAGATTTAATATGATATGTGATATTAATGCACCTTGCACACTACCCTATAAAAGAAAAGTTGAAAGTCTTTTGCATACTACAATTAAAGAACAGCTTAAATCTTTTAAAAAATCAAAACATTATTTGGAATCTCAGATCTGCTTAAGATACCAAATATAACATTTAATACTTACCTTCAAGGGTCACAAAAATGTTTACTTATATAAAGAGTATTGTTTTTGTGTCATATGGCTATTTGATTAGATTGAAATACTACAAAGATAAATATTTTAAGCTAATCTATTAAATGAGATGCAAGATCAGTGTTAGCCCTTTCCCATCTGCCATGGCCCTTTAACTGGGTCTTAAAGTGATTCTAAAGATTGTATTTTCTTTTAATAACAAACATGTTATACTTACCTGCTCTTTGCAGTGGTTTAGCACAAAGCAGCCCTGGTCCTCTTCTTTTTGGACCCCCACCAGCAATCCTGGCTCCCCACCTTCTGAATGCTTCCAATAGCAAGCCTCTTGCTATGAGGGCACCATGCTCCTGTGAATAGACATTGTCCATTCATACATAGAGTGTGGCTTGGACCTGCCCCCCACTCTCCCCTCATTGGTCACTGGCTGTGATTGACAGCTGTGGGAGCAAATGGCCCCTGCTGCTGTGTGAGCTGATGAGGAGAGAGAGCCACCACTCTCATGAACATTGCTGGATCGAGCTCAGGTAAGTATAAGGGGGGCTGGGGGGGAGCAGTGCCAAGAAGGTTTTTTACTTTTATAGGTAGAATGCATTATGGTAATAAAAAAAACTTCTGCCTTTGGAAGCAGTTTAAGCTAGATTATGTGACAGCAGTGATTGGCTGTCACAGTGCTCATAGTAGTCACATGATGGGGAGCCCATCCCACCAGCACCTGATCAAAACTAGAGACCAGGAGCTGTTAGAGACAGCTTTGTCATTCTGCTGAGAGCATGAATTGAGCATACTATCAGGACAGAAATCTCATCTTCCATAAATGCATATGTGTAGTGCATGGGTGTTAAGGCCCATTCTCCTTGCTGCCGAATAAATGCATTTGATGGTTAGGAAGTGGTTGAAGAGCACACAGCAACAACATAGAAATGGTCACTCATTCTTAAATTCATGCTGGCTTTACTGAGCAGTCAGCAGCTGGGCGCCTTCTATTAAATTACCAACTGTAAAAAAACTGTAGGAAACCTTTCAAAATCTTTGCAGATTCACCTGGATTCACCTGAAATGAATGATATTAGGTAATGTAAAGAATTTAGGAAGTAGAGTGGTAAACAATATAGGGTATGTAAACCAGTCCTTCCTGAAGAATGTTTTACTGCATACAGTATATGAAAAGTTTCAGAGAGTCTGTAGTCTTTTAGATGCCAGGTAAGGGGTAGTACAGATTGTTTGGAATAACATTTCATAAAGATTCATAGGAAGAAACAGCAGTAACCTCTGCTGCTTTGTTAGCATTAACAGCAGATGGGCAAACGCAGGTTCTAATATTAACCAATAGGCTGCTAGATAACAAGCATAAACGTTAGGGAATGCTAGCTTGGTTGTATGTTGAAGCAATTGGAAAGCCTCCAAAGGAACACAAGGAGGGAATTCTAGTCATCAAAAGGAGATACAGATAATATTAGGTTGCTTGAAGATGATAACTAGGACCATTTTTATTTCTGTCTTTAATGTTGTTGGATTGTTCCCTTTACTTCATATCTGGTAAAATGTTGTCAGCAGGATATGATGTGAGGGTAAATCTTTCTGACAGAGCACCTGATAGCAATAAACACCTGCCAGGAGTTCTAATCCTTTCCAAAGCTAAGTTAAATCTTTTACATGGACATACACTTTAAAAATACTAAATGTCTGCAATTCAGGCAAAATATGCATTAATATAGTAAGGTAAACACTTCCTAAAAGCTAGCAATCAGGAAAAAAAGCTATTTCAAAGACCCAGAAGTATGCTGTATAAAACTTCCTAGGAAGTCATTAATACTTGTATACAGGCACATATCATACTTCTATCAGAACTGGGAACATTATAATAATTTTGCTGTTGGTTTCTGTTATATACTTTTATGTATCTATACTGAACTGTAGATGACAATGCCAAGTGATAAATCAGAACAGAGGATTCACTTAATATCCTGGCCTAACAAGTCATTGTGATGCTATACCTTGTGAGAACCTCTATGTGTTATGTTATAATCAAGCTTTCCAACCATGGCACAGAAGGACATGTGGACTGCATCACCAGTGCCAAGCACACTTTCTTAGAGCTCGCACTGCATATGACTGCTATGATGCCATCATGTCATGCTATGCCCATCTGCCCAATCTCTGCCAATATTAGGCTGGCTAATTTACGCTTAATTCCTGCAGAGAGTAGAGTGCACCTAAGCCACACTCTGCACTAACTGACTGCGCACATTGTGCACAGTTCCAATATCATATTTGAGTTGCAGCCATGCCTTTCATTTGTGACTGCAGCTCAACGGAGATCCATTCCATGCATTCTAGCATTACGTTCACTCTCAGGAGGGGGCAGGTCCAGGGAATTTCTAGCACTGGGCAACTAGGGCACTTGCTTCCAGTGAAGACCACCCGCCATGTTTACTTGCACACTGCTGCCACCAGGTGAGAGAGGCAGAATAGTGAGTCATTGAGCTGTACACATTTTAAAAAATCCCATGCCCACCTAGTAAAGCCATGCCGGCTCCTGTAAGGCCCCTTGTTGTAGTGAAGGAAGAGTGTGCAAAGCTTCGGAAAAGTTAGGTGCAGAAGTCAGAGTGGTGGATAGGGGAGGGGGATGCTAGGTGCAAAGGTGAGAGCTAGGTAGGAGGTCTGGGTACAGAAGTGGGTGCTATGGATGAAGAGTGACTGAGTACAGAGATCTTCACTGTGCATGTTGGGGGGTGCAGAGTTGAGAGCTGTGCATAGGGGGTCGGGTGAAGAGGTGAGAGCTGTGGATGGTGGGTTCAGAAGTGAGATGCGAAAGAGAAGGCAGAGATGAGCTGTGGAGAGGGATGACGAGGTGAAGTGTAGATGGTGCTCATAGGGGTTCACAGAAATGAGCTGCGGATGGGGGTGCAGAAGTGAGCTGTGGAGTGTGGGCATAGTAGTAAACAATGGAAGAGAGTTGCAAAGGTAAACAAACAATGGTGGCTACTTCTGGTGGTGTTGCTTGAGGATGAGGGGATTTCTGCTTCAGGAAGGAGAATTTACAAAGTTTTATGGTCAAGAGTACGTATGAATTGCACAGCATAAAGGATGCGGGGCTTTGTAACACATCTTACGTTAAGTAGTCCTGACCACCCTACTCTTGTTTTTCTTTGTTGTATATTATATGCATCGCATATGTTACATATCATTGGTTTATATAGTGACCTACTCTGGAACATGTATGAAGATGAAGGATCTGTGCCTTTTTCTGATCTGCATACAGTATTTCCTCTTGGTCAGTGTCTCAAAAAGTATAGAAGCAGTAAACTTGACATAACTGGCAGTCAGCTAAGAATATTCATAAAGTCAACAATGGCAATCTCATTGCATGTTTATCTTAAATATTATTTGTTTATTAATTTGACTTTCTCACTTAGACAAGTAGACTTGCCCTCTGAAACTCATCAGTTTCACCCCTTGACACAATGCATACGTTTTTGAAAGCTTACATTTTCATTATGTATGTATGCTTATGTCATTATTTTTAGGAATGCCTACCCAGTTACTCAAGCCTCACCATGCATAACCTGACTGATTTATCCAATGTATTTTATAGTAAAATGTCTTATGAGAGAATTTATATGAAGCTGTGCATGGCTGCCTGACATTTTTCTATTTGTTTTCATCAGAAAATTATTTTCTGGAATAGAGATACAGTTTTCAATATCCTGTTTTCAGTTCAAAATGCTCCATGGTTTGACAAACTAGGATTTCTCATCATATTCCTATACACAAGAATTATGCTGATTTTGTCTCTTCAGTTGCGGAAATTATTTTACAATACTTCAGTACAGCATTGCAAATCATTTTAGTATAGTCGGAGCTGTACAGAGACATTATTAGGATAAATCTTTATTACATATCAAACCACTTCACTCCATGAATGTAACCTTATACAAGATCACTACAATTTACCTAACTATGGTGTCCGTTTATGACACAGAGAATAGCTGCGATTCAACAGATCTCAGCTATTCTCTGGTCATTCACAGTTTATGACACTCAGGAGATCATGTCAGCCTTTCACTGGAGATCTGTGTTCTCCCTCCAGATTCTCCAGCCCAGAGCTGGAGAATCGGAGGGACCAAAAACTAAGCAGAGATAATTTACCTCTGTTTAGTAAACTGATCTTTTACTGTAATCTCGCGAGATTATAGTAAAATCAGCCGTTTTCCAGAGTTTGTAGACCATTCTCCAGCGTTTGGAGACCGTTCTCCCTTCGTTCGGAGAACTGCTTCATAAACTGCATTCACAGGAGAACTGTGTTCTCCGAGAATGCCGGAGAACTGAGCAGCGATCTATTACCGCTGGTTCATAAACGGACACCTTTAACTTTAGTTTTATAGCTAGGTGCCACACGGGACTCAACCCTTGTCCTTTAAAAATACTAGCAAAAATATGTGGTTCTAAAAAACACATACAAGCACACAAAACTAAATTCAGTTTTGCTTTCCAAGAACAATCTTGTACAATTATCATTATTATAAGTCTATTCAGTATAGCCCCATGTGTAAAAATAGTAGGTCAATGTAGAATGTTGTTGTCTTGTGTCCTGAAAGCTACTCACGTGAACACAACTGTGCACCTCAACTACAGCTCATCAACTGCCATAGTGGA